GTTCATCGGAGCCTGAATTCAGGCTGTGGCAGTAAGAAGAGAATGAATGGTTGGGAAATGGTAGAGGTAGATTCTGTAAGGTTTCATATATTCATTCCACAAACATTTTATAAGTACCTATTATATTCTGGGTATTATGCTTATCTCTGGGGATAGAGATAAATAAGGCATAGTTTCTGTACTCAAGGGGTTTATTCTTTTGGGAGAAAGAAAAACAAAATGATTCCAGTACACTATGATTCGAGAAGGAACACATCAGTTTTTAAGTACTGACTTTGTATCAAGTGTTGTGCTAGGCACATTACATGTATCACCTTACTTAATGCTCCCAGCCTCATTGGTATTAGCCCCATTTTACAGGTGAAGGCAGGTCTGTTCCTGAACTCTGTATGGCTCAGGGCAGGAGTATAAATCGGGACCCATCTGTCTTAAGTCTAGATATATAAAAGCTATAAATCAGACTAGTAAACTGATAAAGTCTGCTCTGTTTTCTTGTCTTGACAAATATACTTTTATAACAATCTGCAAGGCTAGCTTCAAATTCAGAATTCAGACTCCTCAGCAGTCCCTAGCCTGTGGTATCCCCGCTTCTCATACATGGTTCCACCCAACACCTGGACAGGCTTCATGTATGTGGACCTCCTAGCCTGGGGTCCAAGCTCTGTTCACACCTTCCACCCTTTCACCGCCTCTCCATCAGGAGGGTGGCTGCCCTGGAGAGGCTACGCAGACCCTAGAATCTGGCAGGGGGCCTTTGGGCTGGGAAGCTCAGAGTCTTGGGTACCTGGGTTGTGGTCTGAAAGGAGGGATATGGACTCTGGGTGAGGGGTACAGTCAGAGCAGGGCCTTCACTCCAAGCCTCACTCCCCTTCCCCCCCCTAGGTCTAAGAGCAGAACTCTTAGAGAGAGCAGGTTAATGAACTGGCATAAGTGTTCACAGGTAGAAAGTGGTACAGCCAAAATCGTGCAGGAACGTCTATGTGCCTAGAGGAGAAAGGGTATCTCAATTAGTCAGCTGATAAAAGTACTGATTAATGAATTGATTGGGGGTAAAGAGTAGGGGGCTGACAGGCAGATCTTTCTAGGAGGAGTGTTGTTTAAAATCTTGAAGGGCTGGGGCTGGGGCAGGGTTGGAGGTGGGAGAGAGTGTGCCCTACAGCCCTTGTCCCAAGCCCCAGAGGCCAAGGGAGGGGTGGCAATCGCTTTGGCAGGATTAGAGCTGTGCTTATGGGTTAGGGAAGAGAAATGAAGCTGCTGATGTTAGATGTGGCCTAATCCAGAAGAGTTAGGTACCCTTTGTCCTAAAGGGACAGGAAAGGAACACGGTCACATTTAGGTGTAAGGGCTGAAGGAGAACTAAAAAGCAAAGACGACTCAAAGCTTTCTTCCCTGAAGACTAGAAATAGAAAATCCAGGAGGCGCAGAATACTGGGCTTTTACAGTTTGAATTACGGGTTAATAATGAGATACTGGTGAAAAGAGAGAGAAAACAAGTGTGACAGAATCTAGGGAAGTAGCCATAAAGAGTGGGCTGAAGAGAGAACTAGCCAAAAACACAACACAACAAAAACCAAGAACTGAGCAGCAGAAGTTTCTGAGGAAGCCTGGTCTGCATAGTGTCATCAGTGCCTGCTAGGCTCAAGTTTGAGAAGGAACCTCAGTTGCTGTGGGGCCAGGCTACACGGAGAGGAGATCCCCGTATTTAGCAACCAGAAGTTAGGGTCATAGGGGTAGAAACCACCTTTTAAGGAGTTGAGGATATATAATGAAGAAGTAAAGAAAGTTAATTTAGATAATTTTCAAAAAATTAAGCTTGGCTTCAAGGGAAGGAGAGAGATAGGAGATTTGTTTAATGGGAAAGTAGGATTCGGGGAAGAAAATGAACTTTTAATAATATCGTTGCTGTTGCTGTTGAGGGCATTTATAATAAGCTATCACATCCTTGGTGAACGGGCGCAGTGGAATAGGAGAGACTGAAGACACGAGAACTGTCATAGGACCGAACCACCCCGGCCCCTGCTCCTCCGTTAGTAGGGGTGGGGAGCAGATGCCACCACTCTCCGCCTCAAGACCAGCTGACCTCAGAGAGCTTATCCCTGTTTATGGCCATCACCATGCGGAGCCCAGGGCTTCCAGGCCCCCCTCATCCACTGCCTCTCACCTCCATAGCTCCAGGGGCTCTTTCCTCAATAAGGTCTCTTCCTTTCTATCCCTCTTCCCTCGATTATTTCTCTTCATAGCACTTACCGCCATCTGACATGTATTCACTGATTTTATCATAATGTTTCTGTTCCTAGCAAAAAGTAAGTTCCAGTTATTAGAACCGTGTCTAGCACATACTAGATAAAGGTTCAAGACATATTTGTTAAGTAATGCGCATAAAGGGGGAGGGAAGGAGGGTTGGCAGAGCAGGATTCCAGAGCACAGGTCGGCAGGCTTCTTCTGTAAAGAGCCAGATGGTAAATTTCTTAAATTTTGCTGGCCACAGTCTCTGTCATATATTCTTCTTTGTTGTTTATTAAAATAATCCTTTAAAAATATAAAGCCACTCTTAGCTCACAAGCCACACAAAAACAAGTCACAGACCTGACTAGTTTGTCAGCTGCCGTGAACGTCAAGGAAATAGGATTAAGAGCACGGGTGAAGACGGTAGCTCTGGGGGGGAAGGGGAAAGAAGAAAAGGAAAAAGAAGAAACATCTTTCTCTGAACACTTCCCTAAAGGGAAGTGAGAAAACAGATGATGTATGTGAAGGATACTTGGGGTGAAGAACAGACTATGAGGGAGTTCACATCAGCAGCAGCCGCTCCGACCCGAGGAGGAAAGGAGTTCTGTAACTGCGTGTCAAACGCGTGAAGAGCGGGGAGGGAGGGTAATCAAACAGAGACGAGCACAAAGGCTGATGAGCAACACAGGCTGCAGCCAGAGGTGGACAACACGAATCTGGCCTGTTCAGGTGGACCGGGGAGACGGAAGAGGTAGCTCCTGAGAAACCTGTGAAACCTCACAGTGAGGCTGCATGACAGCCCCTGGCACACTCGTTCAGAGCAGTCCTGGATTCTCCTCATGCTCTTTTGGATAAAAATTACTTCTGGAAACAATAAAGAAACATGAACTGATTTGTGAATGATAACATCTTAATTAAAAGTTAATTAACTTTTATTAAGGCCCATGCTATTTATTTATTAATAGATAAGCTAGAGTCATTATCTCATTTAATCATATTATATTAAGTTCTAGCATTATCTCTGATTCACAGATGAAGAAATTGAAGCTTAGAGAAGTTAAGGAACTTACCCAAAGGCACAAAGTTCTTAAGTGGCAGAGCTGGATGAGCCCAATCAAGTGTGTCTGACACCCGGTCTGTGCTCGTAACTAGACAATCCGGTGCTGATGAATGAACTACTATCAGTGCGGAAGTCCTGTCCTCACTCTGTCTTGTTCGGCATTTTTATTATGCTTTAGATGAGGATGTAGATAGTGGACTTATCAAATTTTTCAGTAATGTGGAACCAGGAAAAGCAGGGAATACATTAGATAACATAATGAGAATCCAGAAGGATCTCAAACTGGAATGGTTCACCAAAGAAGAATAGAATAAGGAATGTAATGGAGATATGAATGTGTAATCATTTACTTAGGTCACAAACAACTACACAGATGCACCGTGTCTTAGCTGTGTGCTGTGCTCAGAGGTTTTAGCCCCTCGCTTTAAGGACTGCGGTGAACGGCAGCTTGTCCAGAGGACACGAGAGTAAGGAAGCGCTTCAGGACCACTTTACCTGAGGAGCCATGAAAGAAACTCATTAAGTCTTCTCTAAACAAAAAATAATTTTTTTAAAAAAGAAAGAAACTCATAAAGTCTTAGAGCAAAACAAAAGAATTAAAAACCTGGAGGTGATGGAGGTGGGGGGAGAGAACAGTGTCCTCAAACATTTTGAAAGTTTTCAGAGACGACGAGTTAGACTTGTTCTGTGTAACCTTTGCGGTCAGTACTAGGAGTAATAAGTGAGGTTACAGGGAGGCAGAGTTGGATTCAGTATGAAAAATAATTCCTCCCAAATTAATCCTGTTCAAAATTGTAATTGCTTGCATTGGAAATTAACGCATCCCCTATTGTTGGACGTGTTTTAAATAGAGACTGAACAATCATTTATTAGAACTTACTCTAGATGACCTCTATAGGCCCTGCCAACACTGAGTTTTTTTCTTCTGAACATGTCAGATGAATAAAGCATTTCTGTACTATTTTTCAAAAGAGTAGAGTAAACTTCTCAGCTTTCTTCTGTGCTGTGTTTGCACCCTGATTCGGTGCAATGCTAGATACACAGTGTGTGTATATTGCAGAACTTCTGTTTTGAGCCTAAACTGAACAAATTCTGATTTTTCACTTATAATGTGACAAAATGTTTAGCACACCAAGTTAGGCTTCAAGTATTTCTTTGAAATGGATGTTTAATTTCCTTGTTTAATATTCTTGCCAAAAATTATACTGAATTTATACCATATTCCTGCCAATTTTTTTTCTAAACCACATTCTATGATATAATTCTTGGTAAGTTTATAAAGGAATACATCTATACAAAAGGACCTTAAAATGCTCGCTTATCTTTTAACAGATTGGATTCTAACATACAGGATGAAGTTGTTTCAGGGCGGACATAATTTATTGACTTTCTGATATCATTATAATTAGTTCTTAAACTTGGCTCTGTGATCTACCTTATTCTGTTTTTGCCCTGTAACTTATATCCAAAGTTTTAATTTTTCAACATCAATAGAAAGTTATCTGGATACATATTGAAAACCTTTAGTTTGCTTTTCTAAAGGTATCAAAAAGCCTGCCTTGTTAGTTATCATCACTAAATTGTTCTGACACTCGTGAGCAAAGTTGAAACAAAAATAGGAAAACTTTCTATTTTCAGTTTTAATCCTCTAAAATTTACCTAATAATTCAATGGGTATACTAATTGAAAAGAAATACTTTTTCTATTTTTTTAGGTGTAATCCCTTTTCATGGATTTTCAATGTATGGTAAGTTGGTCTCTAAAATATTTACTATTGTATTCTACTTTAGAAAATTAAACTTGAAGATCACACTTAATATCACATCACCCACACACTTAACAATTTATGTGGACATTTTTAAACACTGAGTTTAGTATTCGTTTATATGTCCAGTGGGGGAAAAAATTTAAAGGGTCATCATAATTGCTCAGATGGTGATTGCTTGACAAATTAGAACTGGAACATACTATGAAATGGTTCTATACCATTTTCTAATCCAATGGAAACTATAGATACACGTTAATATTTATTTCAAATAGGTGTAAAGTGAGGTTGCTTAAATTCCTGAACTAATTCTCACAAGTCTTCTGAAAAAAAAAAAAAAAATAGATCAGAAAGAATGTGCAGTGAGGGACCACAGGGAGTTTGAGTTCGTGATTTCTCCAGACTGGTGGTATGCACAGCAACAATTACACTGAAGCATCTGGTCATCCTGAGAGACACGTGGAAGACACATGTGCAGGCTTGAGAGCCCTGAGTGCCGAAGGGGTTCAGAACAGGCTTCCTCAAGACATGCCACTTGGCATGACGATTATTTTGAGCTAAAGGCAATTGAGACCCCGTGGGCTCAAAAGAAACTTTTATCTCTCCCCGAAAGAATTTAAATTGGGGCCTTGACTATAAGAGTTATTACCAGAAAAAAATTTGATGACCTATCTGTATGTCAGGGTAAACATCTATTTACTGAACACGTGCTCTCCTTACCATCCTGTGAATTATGCCCTGCCGCTCTGAAGCCTTGGGCTTCACTGGTCTCATTTCTTAGCTCATTTTACCTTTCCGCCTCTGAACCACTCATGCATGCGGAGTCTCTGACTCTCTCTCATGTATGTAAGGTCCTGTATATATGAAATTAAATTTGATTTTCTCCTGTTAATATGTCTCATGCTGGTTTGATTATTAGACCCTCGAAAGAACCTTTATAGGGTAGAGGAAAATTCTTTCTTCTTAACAGTGCCTTTCTTGCCTCTTGTATCATCAAATGAAGAATGCGAGAACCTTAACGAAGATTAGCAGAGAAAGAATGCTCTATTCAATACCACTTAATTTAAAATTTTCCTGCATTACGTATGAACTTATTGAAGGTTGTTGTCCCCGCTATTGCTCCCCGCCCAACTTTTGTGCTAAACAGAAACACTTTAATGTTTTACTTTTATAAAAAGAATCAGCAATAAATTAATACTTCTCGTTGTAAAAAGCCCCTCAGTGTCCAACATCAGACAGTCGTGGTGAATGATATAATAAAAAATAAAAAAAAAAACTTTTAAAACTAGCATACAACGAAAAGGGTTCAAAGTATCTAGAACTTTGCGCTTTGTTCTCCTCAATGGTGTCGATCAAGCTGACTAGATGCTTTAGCGCAGTCATCGCAGTGCATACCACTAGTCTGGGGGGGTCGTGAAGTGTAGGGCTCCCTGCTTTCTTTTCTTGCACAACCAAAATTTCATAACAGAATATGTGATGTTATTGTGACCTTTCAGCCTATTTATCTTTTATAAATATGTGAATTTAAAATAGAAAACCTAAAAAGGTTAAGAATAGATAGTTTTACCTCTAATAATAAAAATGGTAGTAGCCTTTTATCTCATTTTAATAATTCCAACTGCAAGAATTTTTCAAGTAAGTAGTATTTAAAAGATATACTTGAGTGATTTGGGAGACAGTTTAGATCTGCTAACAATGCTCAGAGTACAAAATACGTCAACTCCTGCCTGTTCACATTTCTCGTCATTTCAATAGGCTAAGGGTTATACACCCGAGGGGAAAATGTTCACTAAGGAAATAGATGATGCAAAATGTTTGATAAAGAGTTTATATATACTATTTTAGGAAAATACGTTAAGCATCCACAAAAACTTCAGCAGTAACCCCTTATTTAGAACCGGTAGACTAGAATAATCACAAATCATCCCCAAGGAACTCTAATTAGTTTTAGTGACTGTATTTCTTTCAACATACTTGTCTTTTAAAAATTAATTCAGACCTTTTTTCTAATTTAAACTTGTCTGTGAATGAATATTATTGCTATCAAACATTGACTTGTTTTTCATGTCTATGAACTTAGGTTTAAATCTTAGTAGTCCTGCAGTATCATCAACTAATTTTTTCATTCTTTCAGTTGCACCACTTTGTTTTCTATACCATGAACCGTCCAAACTGTATCAGATATTCCGTGAGATGTACGTGCGTTTTTTCTTCAGACTTCACTCCATCTCTTCTCATCCTTCTGTAAGTTTATAAAAAATTGGATCAAATCAGACTCTAACCTGTTCTTTCTAAAGAAAAAGTCTCCTACTCAATTAAATTATAAAGCAGCAAATCTTAATTTGTGACGTCAAGCAACATGTTTCATTAGAAAAAATGAAAGAGAAGAAGAAATTTATGTTTAAATATTTTGGCAATAAAGAGAAAAAAGCCCTTTATTGATTGTATTTAAATGATCTTTTATATGTTAAAAGAAAAAACATAGAAATCTCAGCGTTATTCTCTTTGACAAAGATGCCTACCTTCTTTGGACGCTGATTTCCTCATCTATGAAATGAGATTAATGATAGGTTTCTGCGAGGCTATAGAGAAGTCTGCAAGGCATCTGGGTAGTACTTGGCTCCTGGCAGATGTCCAATCAATAAGTGGCTGCTATTTTTATTGTTATTGTTATGATTATCATCATCATCCCTTCTTTGTTAGTGAAAATCAAATATTTATTTTTCACTTATTTTTTAGTATATTTGGCTAATTATAAGTTATCATACTAGATTTTTTCTTTTTGTTTATTCAATAGGTAGCTCCTTTGGCCTCAATATAAAAGTCAAGGAGAAGCATATTGGGAGTTGAACATTTTTATCTGTTTTATTTGGGCTGGTCCTTTAGCATATCTTTTTTCCCCCTACGAGCCTAAGTAAAAGCAATATTTATCTTATTTCAGTTATACGTTTTCCACTTTGGGGCCTTCTGGGGCCCACTTCTAAGTAAGTAGACTGACTCTCCAGAAGAAACTTTAAATTGGAATGTGTCAGGGCTACCAAGCTTCTCCAAAGAGGAGACTCTGTTGTTACCGTTGGAGCCATCGGAGTTCCAGTAACTCTCACCTCTAGGTCCTTTTCCCTGCTGAAGAAATGAATTCCAACTGAGTGAATATGAGAAATATTCGTTTGTTAAAAGCATGTTATGAAGTAGAAGACAGGTCAAGCCTAAAACTGGCTAACCACATGGAGATGAGGTTATGTACCCTGGGGTAGAGGAGGTGGAGGGGGTTTTGGTTACAGCCAGGGAAGATAGAGAGCTGTAATATCAGGGGTGGGAGAGGTCTGCGTTATATTTAGGGCCGTGATGGGTGGTTACAAAGATATTCTTAGGTGATTGGCAAGTGAGGTCATTTTGATTGATGCCCGCCTTCTATATAACTCTGCCCAGTGTACATGTGCTTACCCAGAATTCAGTCTGTCATAAATAAATTCATGAACTTCCAGGCATACACATAGTATTTTAGCGAAGCTTAAATTGTAGGCAAATTGGGTAGTACCTTCTGCGCAGGCATCTGTAGCCAGCTAGGATGAGGGCCCTCCTGTCCTTTGTCTCTGGGGATGCAGGAGGGATTCTCTAACTACCAATAGAGTATTCTCTGGGCCGTCTCTAGACTGGGCCCCTACCCTTTGTTCCCCTGTCGCTCATGTCTGACTAGCTACTTACCACTGTCACTGCTGCTAAACTAAGTAGCTGTCCTTTATCTCCCCAGTTTAGTCCTATGCTTTCCAATTCTACCTTCCTCCATCTTCAGTTTTGCTCTCATTCTAGTGAAAACTGGCAAATAACAAAAATCCAGGATGTCACAGATGAATAAATGAAATACCACCAATTACCTTGGGTTACTCTCTCTGAGACAACTTGATTTAGTGTGTATCTTATATTAATATTTAATCTAGAATAATCAGAAATATATGAATAATTCTCATTGTAAAAACCTCATTCTTAGCATCAAATTTCTGATGCTCATATTCTGTACCATTTTATGCTTCAATTGTTTTTGTTTAAGTTTTTTTAACTGGATGCTCAGTACGCACCGTGGCTTCTTCCATGTGCAGAGCACGGAAGCTTGACACCGGGCAATTCTGGATATTCCTCCTCCATCTCCACACTGACCCTGAGTGTCTTTTTTCAGCTCACTGGTTTGGCCAGCCCCGTCTCTGCCCTTTGTCCAGTGGAATAAAGACTTCCAGGCAGTCGTCTCCTTTTCTGACTTGAAGCCAGAATGAATATTTGGAACCATTACAGCCTTTTCTTTTTCTTTAGAAACTCAAAAAGAGGATTAAAATTTCCTTACAAAGATCAAACCTGAGGAATGCTGAGCCACAAGAAAGACTTTATTCAGTCGTCAAGTAATAAACACACTTGAGAAACCATCTGCTTAAATCACTTACTCCTGTACTCTGTAAATAATACCCTTTATAAAAGTAGATTTCATTTAAAAAATTATCTTCACATGAAATAAACATTCTTGTTTGATAACTTTCTGGTGCAGATATCAAGCAGTCAGCAGTCAGTCTTTCCCCGTGGATGGATTTCAAAGAAAGAGTGGAAAAAAAGCAGGAAACGCTCTCCCTTATGGGACATATGGAGGGAGAAGGCAGAGGATGTGGCCATAGCACCAGAGAAATACCTGGAAACTGGAATGCATCCAGAAAAAACTAATTTTGCTGGGCCAAAGTGATAATACTTTGGCTTACAAAGTAGCAGCTTTTCTATAAAATGATGTTTTCCTTAGACTTTCTGAATATTACATACCAAGTTATGCAGAGAACCTATTGTGTTAAAAAGGAGGCTCTTTAGCATCCTGTAAGAATATGTTTCCATAAAGAGGGGTAAAATATATCTTCAAACACAAGTTGGAGATCATTAGTGCATTTCCTGTTTTTGACTCTTAAACAATATAAAAAATACTTATTTTGAAAAAATATTTATGTTGATAATCTTTCTCACTTCCATTTGAATAATTTATCAACAGTTACATTTTAAAAACTAAAATATGTATCTCTCTTGTGATTTATTATTGTACCCAGGGTATTGTGTCACTCTGTTTGCTGTTTGAAACTCTTCTTCAAACTTATCTCCCCCAACTTTTTTATCATCTACGAGAAATTGGGGCTCAACCGTGAGTATTTTTCTCTCCTAATTGAAGAATAGATTGTTTGACATCAGAAGGCTTTTTCATCATTGTAAAGCACTTGCAAAGATGCAATAATTTTTCAGATAAATTAAACTAACAATTTCTCTAATAAAACAATTATTAAGTAGCAAACTGTTACTCTACATTGTGCCAAAAATTCTTGGAAGGATTATTTGCCCAGGTTTTTGTGCATGGTTACAAGAACCACCAAAATGAACTAATTTTTATACATAATGAAAGGCATTGGCCAAAACTAAGACAAAAATTATGGAAACAAATACTACCTGAGAGACATAATAATACTGAAATTAAGTCAGTTCAGGTTAAATATATCAGAGAACAACTTATAAAAGCTTTATAGGTTAAAGTTTGCTGTCTTTTGTTAAAGGAAACTACATCAGTTAACTGCCAGTGGTTGTACATCGATTCTTCCTTTCAAAAATTTGAATATGTGTTCATCTATCTCAGTGTGAGTTATTGGTACATAGACAGGGAACTCTGGACTTCAATATCACTGGTTCTCTTCTCTCTTTTTTTTAACTTACATACAATGTCTAAGGCAACGGAAATTTCCAAATGATTTATTGAATGATTTATCAAAAATGATTTATCATGTTTTGTTACTATCTTCTGTGCAACCATTTTCTCCCATTGAGGAGAACATATTTGAAAAGAGTATTAACTCTTTGAGACCATAAAAGGAATTAATAGGAAATGGAACAGTTTAATATTTGTCTTCTCCGTACTTGAATCCACATCACATAGATGGATGAGTGGGTGGGTTTAACAGACAGACCCAGATTCAAATTCTCTCTCTACCAAATTGTATAAACCTGATACAATTTAATTTATCTAAAGAGCCTCAATTTCTCTCTTTAAATCAAGATAATTTAATTTCCTTGTATTTAAAATCAAGAGAATTCCTTAAAAAGTGCTTCAAATACATGAAGTAAAAATATGTATAACAATAAAAGGAGGAAAAGGCAAATTCACAATTACTGTTGGAGACTCTAGCATTTCTTTCTCAATCAATAGAAAAAGTTAAAAGTTAACAAGTATATAGAAGGCTTGAACATTGTCAACAAACTTGATTTTACTGCCATTTATAGGACATTCTGCTTAGCTCTAGCAGAATATAAATTCTTTTCAAGTGCACATGGGATGTTTACCAAGATAGATCATATTCTGGGTCATATAACAAACCTCAACAAATCTAAAAAAAATTGAAATCTTATAAAGCATGTTGTCTAAATGCCACAGAATTAAAATAGAAACCAATAATAGAAAGATATCAGATCTTTCCAAATACTTGGAAATTAAACAAAAACACACTCTGTGTTATCATCCTTGGTCAAAGAGAAAGTCACAAGAGAAATGAAGATACACTTTTAATTGAATGACAATGAAAACACAACATATCAAAATTCGTTGGGTGGATTAAAGCAGTGCTTTGAGGGCAACTGATACTATTACATATTTTAGAAAAGAAGAAAGTTCTCAAATCTGTGGTCTAACCTTCACCTTCAACAAGTAGAAAGAGAAGAGCAAAATAAACCTAAAGCAAGTATAAGGAAGGAAATAATAAATATAAGAGCATAAATCAGTGAAATTTCAAATATAAAAACAGTAGAGAAAGTCAACAAAACCAAAAACTGGCTCTTTCAAAAAAGAATAAAATGAACAAACCTCTAGCCAGAATAATAATTTAAAAAAGATAGAAGATACAAACATCAAACTCAGGACTGAGAGAGGTGATGCCATTCTGATTCTATAGATATTAAAAAGCTAATTAAGGATAATTAGGGAATATTATGAATAACTTTATGTCTATAATATGATAACTTAGATAAAATGCACAAAGCGTCAAAGCTTACTCTAGAACTAGATAACCTGAATATTTCTATATCAAAGAAATTATATTTGGAATTAAAAACCTTCCAGCATCATCAGTTTTAATTGACAAAAGCCTTTTAAAAATTGACTTTTAGCTTGACAGTTCAATTTTTATACTTTCTCCTACATAAGAATTTTAATGTTTATCATACGTCATTAAAATAAAGTTGTTCCTTTTAATTATTAAAGTATACAAACAAGTTAAAAAAAATATCAGAATTTTAGTTTTTAGCAATAAACTAAGTGTCTTCATCCTAGTAAAGAAAAGTCTGGTTACATTCAAATATCCCTTGCACAATAGTAAAAAAGAGGTCAAATTCCTACAAATTTAAGAAAAAAAGACTCTGGAACTCGACCATGCTTTTTCACCCTGATCTTGGACTTCCAGTCTCCAGAACTGTCAGAAATAAGTTTTTGTTGTTTATAATCCACACAGTTTATGGTAATTTGTTATAGCAGAATGAACTAAGGTACCTATAAAAAAAAAGTTCTAAAAAAGATATAAATAATAATCCAACAGTGAAGATAAATTAGACTAAAAAATACTCAATTCAAGAATAGGCAGGAAAAGAGGGAAAAAGGAATAAAGAGAACATGGAGCAAATAAAATACATTTAGCAAGATAGGAGATAATGTCAATTAATATTACTTTAATAATGTCAATTACACTAAGTGTAAATGAAATAAACATGCTAATTAAAAGACAAACTGCCACATGGGGAGACCCAACCATACTTCTGACAAGAAAGCCACATAAAAAATGAAAACAATGATAATATTTTAAAAGTAAAAGGATAGAAAAGTATACACCATGCAAACTGTAATCGAAAGAAAGCTGGAATGGCTATATCAGACATAGTAGAATTATTACTAGGGATAAAGATATTATATATTTACCATCACATTGGAGGGTAGAGTTTTAACATATAAATTGATTCGTATGTGTGAGGGGGGCACAAACATTCAGTCTAGTGCTGTAATAGTGCCCTGAGGTTTATAATGTACATCTTTAATTAATCACATTCTACTTTAAGATAAACTCCAGGCCCGGATGGCTTCACTAGCAAATTCTGCCAAACATTTTAGGAAGAAATAATCTCAGTCCTTGTTTTCTCTGGCTGCTATCAAGATCTTTGTCTTTAGGTCTCAGAAGTTTGATTTTGTTGTATCTGGGCATGGATTTCTTTGGCTTTATATTCTTTGAGGTTTGCTATACTTCTTGAATCAGTAGGTTTATGTCTTTTGCCAAATTTAGGAAGTTTCGACCATTATTTCGTCAATTTTTTTTTTTTTTTATCTGCACCATACTCTTTCTCCTTTTCTTCTGGGATTCCAATGATACAGATATTAAAACTTCTGGTCTTATGTCACAGGTCCCCGAAGCTCTGTTCATTTTATTTTCAGTCCTTTTACTCTGGTTCAGATTAGATACTTTCTATTGATCTATATTCAAATTCACTGCCTCTGTCTTCGGTCATTTTCATTTTGCTGTTGGATCCACCCAATGAGGAAATTTGTTTTTGTTGTTACTGTATCTTTTCAGTTCTAAAATTTCCATTGGTTCTTAATAAAACTCATAGAACTGTGCATGAATAAGGATAAATTTTACTGTACATAAATTATAGCTCACTAAACTTTATTTCTAAGAAACTGATTCTGTGCTGTATATGGGGAGAGCACAGTGTGTGATACTATTGTTCTAATAAGACACTATGAGAGATCCAGCAAAATGAAGCTAGTGGAAGTTAATCATTTAGACTTAAGAGTCCAATGAATTTTAAAAATTTTAAATATCCAGTGGCCAAAAGTTTCTTTGGCATCACTAAACAGATATTGTAAAACTAACCAAAACTAAGTAATATTGTCAATATTACTTTGCATTTGTTCTATTAGAACGATAGTTATCTCATATTGAGGAATTTCTGAAACTTGGGGATCTTTTTCAGTCTTAAGAGAATATGGCACCAACAAAGGCGACCTCTGAGTTCCTTTCTCTTGCTTTAAGAGGATAACCCAAATATTTATCTATATAATAACAATTCCAGCAGAGTTTGGCTAGCACCTCTCAGGGGCAGAAAAATGATGTTTAGATACTAATAGTACAGAAATGTGAGGAACTAGTTTATGTTTTAAGGCATCAAAACCAAAGAGTTCATTTCCTGATTCCAGAGATAAATTGCTATTGTAACATAACCTACTTACAAATAGTGGGATCTTATACCTCTTAGAATTTTTTTTTTCTTGCGAAATGGAATTCAGTTGAATTTTTCTGATTGATCTTTAAATGAAGGGTTTGATATCGGAAATCTATTTCTAAGGTCCCTTATAGCATTAAAACTATTTTTCTTTGTCTTTAAAAACTCCTCCCTGTTGTTTTATTTTATTCATCCTATGTAGCCATTTGACTGAAATGTAGAAATATAATTTTTTTTAACACCTACAGCACCCGGTCTTCCTAAGTGGTCTCCCATCCAAGTACTAAACAGGCCCGACCCTGCTTAGCTTCCGAGATCAGATGAGATCGGGCGTGTGTAATATAATTTTTTGAATAGGAAAAATATTCAGGTATCAAGCACCCTTTCAAGTATTTTGAATAAAAATTCAAATGATCACAGCTTGCCTGAAACTGTTAAGACTATAAGTTCACCTCAACGATAGCTAATTAGTACACACCCTGAAAAACAAAAGGTAGAAGGGAGTTTTCTAAAGGATGAACTAACTATATAACATAAAGGGGGGCCCAGCAAACGTAAGTCATCCTCTTAATACTCTGAGACCACTAACTTGAGGACTCATGGTTCCTCACCATAGCACTTTTGCACCTTTTACGAGAGTACTTGAGTTCTAAACGCCCAGATGATTTCTAAGACTCACAGAGGAGTTACCTTAACAAAAGAATTGCTTGGGCTCTGCCAGCCTTTTGTCAGATATTGCCTGTTTGTAAGAGAAAAAAAAACACTGGTAAAATTTATTTTTTCTTTGCTTACAGACTTCGCATATCATTTAAATGGATGGTTCGAGCTTTCTCCGGATACTTAGCTACAGATCAACTCTTGCTTTTGTGGGATAGAATTCTAGGATACAACTCTCTGGAAATTCTTGCTGGTAAGATTAAGTGCTTGTCTGTAAAACTCATGCTGTTTCTATAGTGAAGTCTTTTTCTTTTCTAACATCTGCCGTCTCTAATTAGAGTTTGAGTGTGCATTTACCTGTCATTTCTAATTCATGAACATTTAATAGATATGACTGCCTTAGAAGACAAGTGCTGAGGTTCTGCTCTCTAGGTATGTTTGTGTAACTGCCCAGCATCAGTCCATTTCTCCTCCTGTCCTCCTTTTAGTCCAGCCAGGGCTCACCAGCTCTCAGCACCTGTGAGGTCTGTGCAACGGAGTGTAGGTGTTCATTCTACTCTGGACTCCTCTGACTGTCTTAGCATTTGTTCTGGGCTCCTTCTCAACTGCCCTATAAAATCCAAACTGACACTCAGCCTTCCTGCACCAATGAAATCTCAGCTCTTCTGGACTTCAGTTTATACTGAATTCAAAACCTTTTCCTTTATGTCTCTAATTCCTGCCATGGTGGCTGAATTTCCCCTTTTAGATATTTTCTAAAACCAAACATATTTCATGTTTTTTTCAGGAAGCCACATTTTCATCACTTATTTAATAATTAATCAGTTCTTACAACAGATATCACACAAGACAACTGTATGATAACACATGGAGTGCGGATTTCTTATTAATTACTTTATTTTTCTTCTCTTGTACAAAGTAGACTCAGTTATTTTTATCACTGGGATTACCAGGAAATTCAAATAAATATTATAAGGTTTTCACAACAATGGATGGAGAGCAAAAAAAAATTGGCAGAGTGCTGGGTCCAACCTTCTCCAGTTGTGTGATATTGAACAAGTTTTTAAACTGTGTTAACCTGTGTTTCCTTACCTTGTATCAGTAGCATTGTAAAGACACTTTTCTGGGATATTGTGGAAATAATGCTTAATTGAAGAAGATCCTTTTCTTATAGAAGATTCTCTACATACCATTTTAACATACTCTTGAGTGCTGTGAGGTCTAGAGGAATTGGGTGGCATTTGAAAAGGATTATTAAAGTAATAATAAAGTGCTATGAAGATAAATGTCACCCCTGCTGTCATCAAAGGCGTCTATCACTTACTAATATTTTTAACAACTCCTCGTATCCTTCTATCCCAATTGTTTTTAAAGCCCATACGAATATGAGTTAAAGAAGAATGGTTTGCCTTCATCCCTTTTGGATGAAGTGATATACATAATGACAGTGATATATATAATCTAGAGATAGAAGGAGTCCTGGAGGTCATCAGGTATAACTTCTTTTAGGCAGTCCTCATCCTCTCTCTGTACACTTCAGAACAGGGTAATTCCTGTCTTAACAGGTGGCCAATTTCATTTCTGGATAATACCGACTTGCTAAAACATACTCCTGTTAAACCAGAGATCATCATGTTTTTTTCTACGCTCACATCCCATCCTTTCTCCAAAGTCTTCTGTTTTCCGGGCCAGACAGACATGTTTTCTGCTACCATTTCTCAGACAACAGGATTTTAGACTTTCCACCAAATAACTTTCCTCAGGGTATGTCATAAGTTTTGAAAAGTATCGTAAATAGCTTTTTGTATCATTTCAAAAAGATATTCGAGTATGTTAAAGAAAGGGGGTCAGTATAAGAAAGTGCTTTCTAATAATTAGGACTTTCCAAAAGTAGAATGGGCTTTTTAACTGTCACCTGAAGGGTTAAGAGAATTTCTACTATGAAAGAAATGTTGACTTGGAAGGCCTTCAAGGCCTCTTTCAATTTAAATTCTCTCATTCTGTAACTTATCACCCTCAGCAAATAGAAGTATAAGAGAGCTAAATGAATGCTGAATATCTCATTTGCTCTAAGCAGGCGCAAAGCCATGAGCTCAGTGCCTTAATAAAAAAGTTACTGATGAATAGGTAGAAAAGCAATCCACACTGCTTTTCCTGAATGCCTTTTAAAATGGAACCAGGTTGATAGGAACTCCCCTACCATGGAATTCAAATAAAGAGCACAGGGAAGATAATTTTATAGAGATATATACAAATTCGTTTTGACTATTTTAAATATTTTGTTATTTTTTAGTCAGAGTATTTCATATCCACCTTTTTTTGCTCAAGGAAGTTATTTTATAGTTGTTAGAAATATTTTAGTAAACATTTCTGGCTTTAATTGTGAATTAATTAGAGCCTTTAAACAGTTTAAAGCAAAGGTGTCTTAATGTCCATGATAGTGTTACTTAAAATTAATGAGAATAGTTTAAAAGACCAAAGGTAAAACTTAGCATTTCTATATTTCATATGAAACGTGATTTTGAAAATATCCTAAAGTATAGACCTTTTCTCCTTGGCAAACAAACCTGTTCTGTGGAAGGGCTGGGCAAAGCAAACATGAAGCAGACGGAAAGGAACTTCTGTGATGTGACACCAAGATAAATAAAGGGTATGAGCACATAAGCATTTTGGATGCTGAGGTCAATTAGTGAACTACTCTTTTTTCCCCTTCTTATCTACATTTGGAAAAACAATTTCCCGCCATGTAAAACTCTTTCCTGCTACAGCAGAAAATTTGACCATCCTGTCAAGCTTTTACCACCTCTGTTAAATTATACACAGAAAATGGAAGTGACGATCACACTCCCTGGCTTCTAAAATGTCTCCACCATCAAATGTGATTGCAGATATTAGGAGACTATAAAGAAGATGCCGGTTCACATAATTGGTTTTCTTTGATATTCCTGTGAACGTAGAAGCTCAGTGACTTTAAAGTATTTCTCTTTTTAAAGAATTAAACAGTAAATTCTTCATCCCAGATCTCTTTTATGCCTTGTTACATATTAGATAATCCCAGCTGATTTAACCTTTTAAATTTTGTTTCACCACTACTATTTTTCCCCCAGAATTTTTCTCTCTAATTCTAATGCTTTTTTGCCAAGCTGTCTAAAATCTGTTGTCCTGTAGAAAAATGCCTGTGCTTCCCAGCCTCTGGTTGCACTCTGCCTCTGTCTGGCGAAATTAAGAGGCCTGGGTCCTGACTCCTCCTCAGCCTCAGCCTCCTACCTGAGGGAGCCCGGGACCACCGTGGCGTCATCCTTCACGCCATCTTTAGAAACCCATTCTGAGCAACAGCAGAGAAAATAGTTCTTAGGAAAGCACATAGATTCCCATGTTAGGGATGTCATTACTGCTTACCTTCAATCTCAATAATGTCATCACATTTTGGTTAGATGCTTGGGCCAGAGCCAGGGTTGTATTCAGTCTACTATTTTCTACCTGTGTGACTCTGAATATGTCACCCAAACTCACTGTGCCTCTGTTTCCACATTGTAAAATGGGGCTAAAAGTAGTACTTAACTCATAGAGTTGGTATTAGAATTAACTGCTGTTTATCTATTCGCATTAGCTATGCAGTATACTTAGAAACCAGTCTTTCAAAGAATTCTGAAGATTCCTTACCATTCATTTCCTAAACTTCAAAAACTCATTGGGTAGTAAATGTATTACCACCACTGGTGATGGGGGGAAAAAAAAAAAAAGTGGGGAAAAAACCAAGAGTCATCTCCAGACAGTACTGTCTCCTTATCAGGGATGCCTGCCTCCTGCATGAGTCCATCGCTCGCAGTGACTCATCCTCTCACGTGGGGTTTTATGGTAGATTCTATAATGAGAAGTATTGCATGTTAGCATTACTTTTTTTATATATGCCTATGTTTAATGGAAGCAAAAATCCAAATGTTGTTTTCTACTCAAAGTATAATATTGACCTTCGAGATATCACATAATGGTTCCCCCCCAAAGTTTCAACTTTTTCCTATAGCTAACATTGATGCAAATGTCAAGATCAATTCCATAGCAGCTCTCTCCATAGATATATCCATTTGTGACACTCTAAGAAAGTTCAATGATGAGTATAAAAATAAAAATATAACAAAATATTATGAAGATTTTTTAAGAAAAGTAATGATCACCACATTTTTATCAGGATGTTTCCTCAATACAAATGAAACATGATATGATATATTTAAAAATTTATTCTTCATTTAACTTTTCAGAAGCCTCTATCGCATCAGTAAGAAACATCTGCATCAAAATAGATCTTAATTTATAAGACAGTCATTAAGTCTTCATATCATTTAAAATTTTTTATAATTTAAGTTATAAGTATGGAAGAAACAATTTATAAAATGGCTTTTTAAAGAACATTGAATTTTTCTTTTTCCCCAAATTGTGAAATACAGTTTATCTAGCTATATTTCCCCAAACTGTATTTCCCCAAATTGTGAAATACAGTTTATCTAGCACTGTTCTCCAGAGGAGACAATTTCCATTCATCGTAAGACCTTAACTCAGAATGCGGGCATGCAGTTGTGTAAAGCACTAGTTCTGAGCTCTGGTAGTGGGTTGTGGGCATAGCAGTAAATTTGTCAGGCTGATGAGTAGGCCAGCAATTGAAATAGTGTGCATTCTTTTCCAGTCCTGGCAGCTGCTGTGTTTGCTTTCCGAGCAGTAAACCTGATGGAGGTGACATCTCTGGCTGCAGCCGAAGTAAGGATAAGTTTCACTCTGATGGGATGGAAATAGTTCCTGAGAGATTGCCAGTCTTGGGCACTTTAGTCTCAAATGCATAAGACAGACTTTACTCATAACCTAATTTTTTTAAATTAGGTAAAACTTGTAAGTTCTGAGCTAAGTAATATTAAGAATTCAAAATTCCTTAATATCTTGAAAATAATCTTCTTGTGAAAGAGTCATAAAGAAGATTATTATAGGAAACCACTACACCCATTATGGGAAACAAGGTATCGAGTAATTTTAATAGAAACTGTTGGGTCCTATGTTGCATTTTCTTTTTGGTGTTCAGGTCCATGTGTTATGCTCACAGAACGAAGAAGAGCTAGTTGAGAGTTAAAGAGCATGTGTTTGGATGATATATAGTAAAGATGCATGGAATTTTTGGTTGTTTTTAATTGTGGGTTAATTATTTAAAGCTGGTTTCTTTTCAGTAGTATAATTTATACCTGAAACATCTTTTGGTTAAATAGGGATTTACCCTATTATTCTATTTATCGCTCATAGAAATGCAAATTTTATCCTTAAAATAGTTGCTACATTCTTTGTTTAAAGGGAAGAGGATGTTTATGCGTCTTGCAACTGGATCAACATTGCTTCCATCTCAAAATGATTTCCTGAAATCAGTTACTCCTTATCCCAGTACAACAGGACTAGGATTCATAATGTACGTTTATTTATAGAAGCAAGTTGAAATGTTAGACCTCTTATAAACTCATGCTACCTTGTGTATTTGAAGAAGGCTCACGGCTAACGTCCAGATTATTTTCTACTGCACGTTTTAGCATTTTGCACATATTCTAACATTAAGATACTCAGACAAGAGAAGGGCAGAACTTGTAGCTTCATCGCAGAGGTTTAGGACAAATCTGAAGAACTTAGAGTCTGTGTCAATACCAGAATTACATTGTAATGGTGTTTCTGTTTTACCTTATTTCATAGGCTTCACTTTGCTGATTAGAATACTGATATTAATAATTCTTTTTGTTTTTTTGTTTCAGGCAGTTCTTGCTGACCTTTCTACTTTAAAAGTTATGCCTCTTCTTCAAATATTTTTGTTTGCTACTGTCACCTGATCTTCTTCAAGGTCACTGACAACATATTTAGTTTTTCATTAGAAATTAATCATGAACTATGCAAACTCTGCATAAAACCAAAATTAAACTTCGTATATAAGCCAATAAAGATCATGTTCCCTCCTCAGTTGAACCTAACTAGTTTTTCACTTTTTAAAACAATAACTCTGCACACCAAATATTGCACTGCATGCTGCTGATTTCCAAGAGAGAAGCAATAGACATAACTTCTGCTAAAGTGAGCATACTATATATATATAATCCTGACTTGTAAAAAGCATGTAATAATATATGCAATAAGAACTAAAGATACTGTAATAAACTTGAAGAGGTTAATGTAGCCACTGGGACAATTCTCTTATGTCAGTTTGTAAATTTATCTCTGATGTACTGTTTTGTCTTACAAATTGCTCTTCACTCAGAGCCAGGGGTGGGGTAGGATGTGGGAAGACTTGAAGAAGATCATGCTTTTAAGTAGAAATTCAAATGTACTTTGGTGTTTTTAACAACTTTTCTCTCACCAGAGATCTTCTAGATCTCTCTCTACTTTATTTCTCCCTTAAAGTTTTCTACTGGGGAAGGTCAAATACAGTTATGTCCATCCGACAGTATTTTATTCATTATTTTTTGAAAAAAGATACAATTCTGGAGTGATCTGTTCAAACTTCTTAGCCTTCCATCTCTTGATTAGAAGTCTTGACACTGCTAAGGCCTGTTGCCAAATTCTGTTACTTTGGAAATATACAGAGATGACACCTAAGGATTTAGTGAAGGGAGTGAAAAATAAAAACCATATCCACTTTTGCTGAAGGCTGGTTTAATGAGATTTACTTCTAGGTAAAGAGAAAGACTAGAAGTAGGTTCTAGACATTCATTCTAGGACTGAAGACATTGTGCAAGACATCAATCTTATTTTGGTCTTCATTATCAGGGAAGTGTCTAATTATATATTATTTCCTAAGGACCTACCACTTCTGCAATACGAAGTAATTGTATATGGAAAGAATCCAAAAACCATTGTCTTTCGATTTTAGGTTCAAATTCAAGATGCTGATCATTTTAACAAAACTCTAAATCAATAGATTGATACTCTTACTGAATGCCTAGAATTGTATTGTTTTCTCCAAATGTATTTCCTGAGTCATTTATTTATAGAGTATTTATTAGGAAATGTATGAGGTTTAGCACAATACTATAACTGTGGTAGAATTTAATATAAATAGGTATTAATTTGAAAATCTTCATTATATATATATGCTTTTATTCATCTGGCCCTTGTTGACTTATTGAGGACAAAATTTATTCAGTGACTGATTCCTAATAAATCCTATTTTATTGCTTTTGAAGGTGACACAGTTAGAATCACGTGCTTTGCCATTCTGTGTGTGCAGATGCACACTCATCACAAGGATAAGCACACACCCATGGCTGTTATCTCCCTCCTTCCCTCACTCTGAGAAGCTGAGAAAAAATATGTTTGAGAGAGAGAGTTTTAAATGATTAAGGTCAGATTTGTACAGATACACCCATCTTTGGCCTTTTTCTTTAGGAGCATGTTCGTAAGCCTTTTTAAAAGCAGCAGTGTGGCGGTAGAGTAGAAAATATCACTAGACCGGACAGTTCTGAGTCTAGCTGTACGTCCCTAGATAATTTAATCTCTTATCTACAAATGTGGGGGAAGGTGCAGAAGGACAGGCAGCAGGAAATTATTGTATTTGCTCTGTTTACCTTATAGGATTGAGTAAGACCAAATGAGAAAAAGTATTTGAAAGTGACTTTTTTAAACTGCAAAATATAAGATGTTGGCAATTAATTTTAAATATGATGTCTTAAAAGTCTAGTGGTAGAAGGTAATATATGAAAAATGTCCAACCTCATTAGCATTTGATGACTTTATCTGATAATTTAAGACTATGTCTATAAAAAAATAAATGGATTATGATATAGGAAATCCTTACATTTGGAACAGGCATCTGCAGCCAGTACTAGATCTGAATCCCAAAGCCAAGCCTAGTAGGCTGCCACACATTTTGCTGCTCTCACAAACCCCTCTCAGCCATGCGGCCATATGCCATGCACATTGTCTCTTAACTTGGCTGCTTGTTAAAATACTGCACTGAGGGCAGTCAGGCTGTCTTGCCCACTCCATCTCTAACTGCACCTCCTCACACTACTTCTCTTGGCTTCCTTCCTCCTGCATTCTCCTGTGCTATCTCCTACATCGCTGGACACCCCCTCACATCTGCTCTGCCAGTTCTCACAAGGATCTGAGTGACCAGTGTTGCTTATGTAATTATTCTACCTATGGCATTGGCATTCATGGCGAAATAGACTAATAGATTGTAATTTGCTCTTCTATATTTCAATTCACCCACTAATGTAATATATATGACCTCATACTATAGAAGAGTTTATTGAACAATATTTTTTACCAGAATGTTTTGGTAATGCAGCATTCTGGCTCACTGAAATTTCCAGCTTGTCTTAACTGCATAGCACCCCCTCACACTCAGCATGTATTTTTTTCTTTCAATTCCATAGGGAAAATGGAGAACTTTAGGCTTGAACTCCCTCTCAATCTACCACTTCAAAACTTAGCTTTATCCTCCGTTTACTTCTTCCCTTCCTTCTTGTCAGAGGAAAAGTCTAATCCATTCCTGCAGCTCTGTATATACAGATCCAATTGGGTCATTTAAATGCTTAAGAAATTAAATGGCATTCCATTACTTAAAGGACAAAGCCCAGGCTCTGTTGCAAAGCAGGGCAAATTCTCCACAGTTTGCTCTTTCCATTCCTGTGTTCACACACACAGCCACTACCCTGGACGACAGCTCCTGCCAGGTTCCATGCGGGTCCTCCACCAGCTCTGCCACGCATGTTGTCTCTGCCAGAAGGACCTCCATTTTTCAAGGCTCCACTAAAATATCTCTATTGCCATGATATGCTGGAGCTGCAAATTAGAATTCTGCCCTTCTCTTTGTTCTCATAAAACTGTTCATCCACTAATACAGTGCTTAGAATATTGAGTGATAGGTTTTTGTGTATGTGTTCTGATTCTCACATCACTTTGTGAGAATTTTCGTTGATTCGTCCTAGGATATGGAAGATGAAGGAAGGTATTTGTCCATAGATATTTGTTCCAAAATCCCCTGACTTGTTCTGAAAATTGTCAGGATCCGTTTTCCTTAAAATATAATTCCTCCTCAGTGTCAAGACTCCCTTTGTCCATAAAGGCTCTAATTCTTATTTGGTAATCTAACCCCACCCCCAAGTACTTCAGGTGAGGCTGATTCCTACCCACAGGGCCTCTAGGTCCTGGCCAGGCCAGTCACCATATACTATCCCCCTGGCCACAGGGATTGCTTCAGGATCCATGCAAAATCTCAGACCAATGAGGACCAGTGAAACTTGACTACAAGGCTTTGGTTTAATCTCTCAGGGAAGCTGGATATGTAAAAGATATAGGAGGTGCTGTAGCCTGGGAACAGAAAGAGTGAACAGCTGCTCCGTGTACCTTGTTGGTCCCCAGGTCACACATCACCAGTCTACCCCTGGACTGTTTTGTCACACAAGCCAAAAGATTTTTTTCGTAACAGAAAGGATCCTAACTGGAGGTATAGTTATTTTACCTTTTATAAGGTGATCTATTATATCGTGGGTATCATTATTTTGTACAAGACCTCTATGTACATACTGCTTAAACTCGAGGAATCTTTTTTACCTTTTTCAATCAAGACACACCCTGATTTTACAAGGATGAATTCTGTGTCCTAGACCTACTAGGCTACCTGAGGTACCTTGAACACATAGTATGTCTCTCTCCTTTGGCGCTTTGCCCGTATAGCACACTCTGCCTTCTCTCCTCTCTTTACCTCTTACTTGTACCTCAAATCCCAACTCAGGTGTTGCATCACCAGAGAAGAGTACTTCTCTTAGGAATTCTCATACCCTAAGTATACATAATTTGTATCATAATCATATAATAGTTTGTTTTTCTCTTCTACTAGACCGTAACTCCTTAAGGGCAAAATTGGTGTCTTTTTTAGCTTTATATCTCCAGAACCTGGTGTAGTGCTTATCCCATAGTGGGCTTTAATAAATGTTTATTGAATGAATGAATGAAGTCATGTAATATAATCCACTCATTCTACTGATGGCAAAACTTGCTCAGTTCAGAGTAATAACTTCTTGTCCAGTCTCACACAACTGTTTTATTGTGGAGTTGCCTATAGAAGTCCAAAAGGGAACAGTATTTTGAGAGAGAAACAAAGTAAATGTGTCAGTTCACTCAGTATTTTTCATTTAAATCAACTTTACTAAGATATAATTTATGTACAGTAAAATGTATGCATTTTAAGTATACAGTTCTCTTAGGTTTGACAAATGTATATACCCACATCACCACTACTACAGTCAAGAACATATCCATCACCTAAATCAATTTCCTTTGTGCCCCACTCAATTTCTCATATACACATTCACTCGGTAGCCACTGCTATGCTTCTGTCCCTACAGATTAGAAGATTAGATTGGTCTTTTCTAGAGTTTCATGTGAATGGAATCTCTCTCTCTATACATGTATATACTCTTTTGTTTCTGGCTCCCTTTCTCAGCATAATGTTTTAAGATTCATCCATGTCCTTGTGTGATTAGTAGTGCATTCCTTTTTATCACTGAGTAATATTTCATTGTGTAAATATTTCACAATTTGCTTATGTATCATTTTTTAATAGACATGTTTACTCAAGTTTTGGTGTATTATGGATTCAGCTACTATAAACATTTGTGTACAAGCCTTCGTGTGGACATGGATCTTCTTTTCTTCAGGGTAAACACCTAGTAGAATTGATGAGTCATATGTAAGCATAAGTTTAACTTTCTAAGAGATCTGCGAACTCTTTTCTGAAGTAGTTCTGCCATTTTACATCCCCACTAGTGATGTACAGGGCTCTAGTTGCTCCAAATCCTCACCACCACTTGCTGTTGTCACGTTAGTCATTCCAATAGTGATTTTAATTTGCATTTCCCTAACTACTGATGATATTGAGCATCTTCTCATGCTTATATGCCATTTATACTTATTTTTTTGTAAAGTGTTCAAATCTTTTGTTCATTTTTAATCAAGATCTTCTTAAGCTGTAAGAATTCTTATTCTGGATACACTTTTGGTTTGTAAAATTTTCTCCTGGCTTAAGGTTTGTCTCTTAATTTCCTTAAGTATTTTTCAAGAGCAAAAGTTTTAATTTTGCTGAGTTCAATGTATCTATTTTTTCTTTTATGGTTCATATTTTTGTGTCTTTGCTAAGAAATCTTTGCATAATTCAAGATTTTTTTACTGTGTTTTCTTCTAGAAACTTTTATAGTTTTAGTTTTTACTTCTTGGCCTATGAACCTTTCTCTTTTTTGTTGTTAATTTTTGTGTATGACACAAGTTATGAGTTGAAGATCATGTTTTTGCATATAGATATACAATTGTTCCAACACCATTTGCTGAAAAAACTATACTTTCCCCTTTATGCCAGCACCTCTGTGTAAAATAAATTGATCATATATATGTGGGCTTGTTTCTGGACGCTCTGTTCTGTTTCATGGATTTATGTCTGTTCCTATTCCATTACCACACTATGTTTATTTTTATAGCTTTAGAGTAAATCTTGAAATCAAGTAGTGTAAGTCCTCTAATTTTCTCTATGTCAAAAATATTTTGGTTATTCTGAATTCTTTGCATTTCTAAATAACTATTAGAATCAGGTTTTTCTCTTGTACTTTTTTAAAAAGCTGCTGGAATTTGTATTGAGATAGCA